CTTGGCAGCAGGGAAGTTGCCTGGATAAATATGTGGCATCCTTGAGCTGCCTGGCTCTGGTCAGTTTAGTTTACTGGTATATTCATAGTCTGCATGTCTGTCTTTCAGCTGCACATGCTCTTTGTTTTCTGTGATGCTATCTATGGATCCTACATGGAATATAATGCTACTGTTCAAAAATAACTTTGAGCCATTCTAAACTGGGCTTTCACTGCTGTCATAGTAGATAACAGGCATGTGATTAAGTCACTTCCTTTAAATTAGACTTCATAAAAAGTCTAACTGATCCACTTTTACTTCTGCTCCATGCTGGTTACATATGAAAACTCACTACCTCATACCATCTTGAAGGGCTTTTTTGCTGACAGTCATAGTTCATCCCAGCCAAGGGTTCAGGACACATCCAAATGTGCACGACTTATTCCCAGTCTGAAACTTCTAACGGTTAGAGCTATGGCTTTCTCTTTTATACAAAACTGTAGGAAAGTTTAAATTTTGCATGAGTGATTTCATTTTAAAGACCAGTGGTTTTCTCTAGATCCTTTAAAGTTTCACTTGTAAATAACCCTGGATTTAAATGCCCAGAACACAGTAGTCTCTAAAATACTTCTATATATAGTGAAAATGACCACAGATCCTTAGGTCTGCTTGCATCCATTCTTCATGAGTGGCAACGAATGTCTACTACATCTACATTAAAATCTGCAAATGGATTCTCAGCTGCCTTAAAATCATAATTTAGGGCACCATTTTGCTTTCACTTGCAGCCGTATCAGTTTTTGAAACTTTCCCACTTTCAGCAGGACCTGCTACACATGGAAACAGATGTGGGACATACCTGGTACGTCAGTCCAGTTGTTGGTAGTTTTGTGGAGTACAGGGACAGAACAAACTGCTCACTCACTCAGACTGACACCCTCGTTATGGAAATTCAGTTATTTTTGTACCGAGTCCAATAAATTGCACTGAACTAAAGCGTAGCTTCCAAAAAACCATCCAGAGGATTTCAAAACACAGGAATCCACCACTCCCCTTCACAGTACAGACAACTATTAAAGAAAGCCCACTATGAGATGTCTCATGTCTGACTTGAAAATGTCTACGTTCAATTTCTAGCTTTTCACTGTTGTATGAAAAAGTTCTTTATTATCACTCATTTTCTTACTGTGAAGACAGATACTTATTGCAAACTATTTGCTTCTTGCATTTCTTTCTGATAAGTTCCACACAGTAGCTGACCTGTAATAAAACCGTGTGTGTAAATCCTTACCTCAGAAATGTGAGATAAGAGCCCTTCAGCCCGGATGGGCTCAGCCACTTCAGCTTCACAGAGGCTTCTTTTGCTTTTTCCTGCCAGCAAAGCTACTCTGGATGCTGTTAGGGCAGTCCTGCTGCCGGCAGCAGCCGGCTCCTGATTACTACCTGAGAACATTCCCCTTCCCCTCACCCTGAGCAGCCGCTCCATAGGCGCAGGTAGGAAACGGCTTTGTGTTCTGCCAGTTATCTCTAACACAGATCTGTTCCCTGAAGCAATCAATTCAATGTTGCAAACCGTGCTGTTCCTGGAGAGGGAGTAGGAATGTATGTGTGTGTGTGTGTGTGTTTTAGGGAGAGGATTAACATATTCAAGGATGATGGAGAAGCAAAATGCAGACGGAACCATATCCTCAGGCTAAAAGCAAGCAACTCAGGCTAACACGCTCACAGTTCACTCCCTAATTTGCTCTATGGTAATTAATTTATTGAATCATCATCTACGTCAAACCCCCCAAAATACCCTTTTTCTGACCTCTGTCAGACAAATCCATTGCCTTGTTAGAAAATGAGTGGTTAGTTCATTGAGATTATTCCCCCAAAGCCAAGGATCATTTACGTTTGTAGACAGTAGCAGCAGAGAAATCCTTTTTCCCCACTTCTGGTGATTATAAATCCCAATTAGAAAACAAGGTTGTTTGATAATGGTAACCATGGAGACATAACATACGAACATAGATGTGATACGCTTCTAATGAAACACACACATACATTTTCTTTAACAATGTGTGGATTGGCATTAATCATATCCTCCTACTTTTAATTCCTTCCTCATAGACAAATTTAGTTTCAGAGACCTACGTTACCCCTCTTGCCCTAAAAGTGTGGTCACACAGCATTATGGCTGAGAAGGACGTAGCTGCAGACGTTAGAGACTCACCACTCCCATTATTATGTCATTTGCTAAAACAAAGTTGCTGAGTGATGTAAGTGCTTCTGTCCCATAACACGAGCGGGACACAAAGATTTGTGCCACACCAGACCCTGGCTCTTGATCCCTGTTCAAATCCAGAGAGGAAAGGATTAAGCTTGTGTGACAGTGTGTATTTGCACAGTAATATGCAAACATCAGTAGAGGAGAAGTGCAGTCCCCACATTTAAACTGTTAAGAAAATGGAATATAAAACAAAGAAATACTAGCCAAAAAAGTCATTTGGTTACAACACAGCAAAGCAGAAATGATCCTTGATGTGTATTCCCCAGTGCAAACAAAACAGACAAGTGCCCAGGTAGCCCATCAGAGATGGGCAAATCCAGCTCCTTAAGGCATAGCTCACTGGGGTATCCATGTCCAGGTATGGACTTGGGCCATTCGTGCTATAATGGAAACATCTCCTGCCTCTGGCAGCACCAAAAAAAAGTTGATATTAGGAAATCATGCTTTAGAACTTGCACAGATGCTGGGAACTTGCTTGCGAAACTGTGGACATGTATAATGGTAGCAGAGCTTGGTGCTAGTTCCTTGCCTGCCTATACAACCAGTGTTCCTCATGTTATAAGCCTAGTTTACACTGGATATTCAGAAGGTTGGAAGTGATAGTATGAATAAGGGTTACAGTAACCCTCTCACCACCCTTCTGCCCTCTGGCCCAGCTTGGAGCAGACACGGAAATGTCACCCTTGCCCGATGGCAGAGCTGTGCTGGGCCTTGTACTGGGAAGTACTGCAGCACTGACCAAACGGAGGTGGTTGCTGCACAAGAATAGCGCTGAGTAGGGAGGAAAGCCTGGAATGGCAATGCCTGAACACTCTGCAGTCTAGAAGTCTACCATGCTTGCTAAGCCCTCCTGTTCTTCTAAGGGATACTCCAAACAATCACAAACACTTATTCCCAAAGCAGTTGTTTTGCCCCTGCCCATATTACTTGTTCTTACTTTTTTGCTATGTCCTTTCCCCAGATGGCTGACTTAGGTCAGTTCTCCTGACATAGGGAAGGGACAATGCAAAAGCAGGAATGAGGTGCCTATTCTCTGCTTTCCCCTTACTTAACAGCAGCATCTACTCTCTGCCAGTGCTGGGGACACACTGCCCTGTGGGATCTGCCCTGATGGGGCTGTGCCCTTCTGGCAGCAGTGGGAGGCAGCACACGGGGATGCAGCATACTGGGATGTTGCACACTGGGATTTTGTTGAGGGACATGGTTTAGCGAGAACTCTTGGTGACAGGTGGATGGTTGGACTGGATGATCTTGAAGGTCTTTTCCAACCTTGGTTATTCTGTGATTCTCTGAAGATGGTAAGACAGTTGCTTTCCTTGGTTCTGCCAGGTTAAAACAGCTACAAAGCTTTGGCCTAAATTAGTGGCAGACTTGCTCTTTGAAGCAGGCCAGCTTAGAATAATAGCATCATTATGGTTGGATAAGACCTCCATGATCATCTAGTCCAGTCATCCACTTACCACCAATATTGTCAATATTGTCCCTCAGTGCCACATCTCCATGTTTCCTGAAAACCTCCATTGATGGGGACTCCACCACCTCCTTGGGCAGCCTGTTCCAGTTCCTAAACACTTTGTCAGAGGAGAAATTTTTCCTAATATCCAACCTGACCTCCCCTGGTGCAACTTAAGGCCATTCCCTCTCATCCTACCAAGGCTTCTCAACCAGCTCAGCTTCCACATACATCCTAAAGCTCTCATTCCTCTTGAGCACACCCAGAAACCTGAATACTTCACCACGGTACCCAAAAATCCTCCACCCACTTCAGGTAGCTACCAATTTGCAACCATATTTTGGACACGAGGAGAGTCCCAGCACAGCAGGAGGTACCGCGGGGTGAGGAGTCCCCTCCGGCTTCAGCAACGGTGTCTGCAGACAGAGAGCTTTGTGGACCTTGAGGAAACGCGGGCTGAGCAGTCGAACATCGGGGGGGGGTGTCTCGGCTGGACGGGGAGAGATCCGTCAGCAGCGAGAAGCGGGCTGCCCGCGCTCCGCTCACTTCAACAGTGCCACCTAGTGCCTTTTTTCCATCAGTTCAGTGGAAGTGGGGGCTGGAAGCTGAGAAGCCGTTGAGGGAGGGAAGGAGCCCAGCGGAGCGAGTGAAAACTGCTGGAAGCCGACAGCAGCGGCTGGGCTGGAAGCTGCGGTGCCCTGCTCTGGGTGAACTGAGTGACTAAAAGAAGAGACAAACTAACAAATTCGAAAGCATTTTTTAAGTTCTTAAACCGTCTAAAGTGTTTCCGGGCTTGTTTTAACGCGAGTGACACGGGTATTGTTGCCGGGGGAGATTTCTATGGGGTAGTTGCTAACAGCAAATGTTTCCGAGAGTGAATGGGTAAAGCAGAATTGGAAACTGCAAAGTTCATCCATTCATAGAGGCAATTCCCTTATTAATAAAAACCAGCAGCTGCAAAGCTGTCCCAGCAGAATAGCGGCGGTGGGAGGGACGAGTCCCACACCCCAGACCCGGAGATGCAGAGAGGGGGCATGGGGGCTCCCCCCCAAGTGCGGGGCGAGAAGAGGAAATCAGGTGGTGGCGATGGGTGTGTATTGCGTTTCTTTGCAGAAAGTGCAACTTAGCTAATTGAATTCCTGCCTCTGCCAATTGAATTGGTCCTTGGCTGAGATCATTTCAATGGGCAGGGTGGTTGCGTTTTTTTTTCCCTTCTTACAGGAGTTCGTTCCCTCCCCTCCTCTTCCCATCCTCCGCCTATTAAAACAACTCAAGTCTCACTTGTTAAAAGACCCCATAACGTGGAGAAGGCAGAAAAGCAGCAGCAGCAGCAGGAAAGGAACAGACGTCTGGAAAATATTACCCGTTTGCTGCTGCTGCTGCTGAGAACTAAAGCAGCTACGCGGTCCGCGAGGCATCACCAAAGAGCCTTTATCTGATGCTGCACATCCCAAACTTTCAGCCGCTGCCGTGCAAATCCTCCAGGCTCCTGCCCAGCCGGGTTTGAAACAAGGTCTTCGACCACGAGAAACTAACTCCTAATTTATTACTTCTAACTTTTTTTTTTTAATTATTATTATTATTTCAAAAACAAAATAATCCCACGATTTTGAGCTAGAAACTGAAGACAAATACATTGTAATAGGGAAAACACGTGGGAGAAAATGAGTAGGACTGAATAGCCTTAAGCTATTTTTTTTATTATTTTCGTTTTTTTAATTATTTTTTTATTCCTGAGTTTCTGAATAAGTCCCTGAAAAAGTGCGATTTGATCTTTTACCTCAAACTTGGAAACTGTTCAGCGGGAGCAACGGTACGTGAGACCACACAGCTGGCTGGAGCCCCTCTATGACCAAAGGACAGCCGGACAAACAAGGTAGGAGACTGACCATCACCCTTCTGGCATCCCCAGAAAAGAAGCCGCTCTCCTCTTAGCCCCACTATTCCAGGAAGGAAGGCGGAAAGAGGTCTCCAGACACGAGTGGGGCTGGGGGAGGATCTTACCGTCTCTATGCTACACCTATTCCAGCAATGAATAGGACTGCAGTGAGGATGAATGAGGTTTTCAGCTTCAACCCCTCCCTCCGTGTAATCCGTTTAGGATACAGTTGAGCAATACGGTTTGAAAGGGGAAAAAAAGAAAAAAGTGAAATGAATAGCAGTTAAATCGATCAAGCAACAGGTTCGGAAGGCATTCGCCATGAGGGGAGGCAGAGCCGCCCCCACCTCCGGCCGCCTTCCCCCGCACGCAGCGTCGGGAGGGGACGTGACAGCGGCGGCGGGAGGGATGGGACCGCAGGAAGGGAAGCGAGGAGGAAGGCTAAGTCCCGCCTCGGAGGGGAGAAACAGCGCGACCAACGTGTCTGGGCGGGGAGGGAGGGACGGCGGAGGCGGGAGCTGCGGCTGCCCGCGAACTTCCAGCGGCGCTGCCGACTGCCGCCCCCGCCCCTCCGCGCGGCCACCGGCGGGACCCGGGCCGACCGCGAGGCTCGGCGGCGGCGACGGCACTGAGGGCCGCTCAGGAAGGGTCGCTCCCGAAGGAGGGGGACGGGGAGGGGGTTCGCGGGGTGCGCCGGAAGAAGGCAGCTGCGGAGCAGCCTCGCGGCCCCTCCCCGCCCTCCGCGGGGTGCTGCGACCCGCGAGGGTCCCTCAGGCTAGGGGCCGCCCCCAGCCCCCTCCCCACGTGGCTGCGCGGGGGATCCCCCGGCGCCCCGCCCACCCCCTGTGACGCACCGCTGCCGCCCACTTTGGCCGCGTCTCCGGGCCGGGGTTCCCCGCAGGAGCGGCCCCGCGGCGGCGGGCGGAGCCACGCAGCCCCTGCCCGGCCCCGGGAGGTCCGGGGGCTCCTCGGCCGTGTTCTCGGCGGCCGTTTGCTGCACCTGTCCGAGCTGCAGCCTGGAGCTGAAGCCGACAACCAGCTCTCGTTGCTAGGAGCCCTAATGCGCTGCATTCGATGCCTTAATACCTTGGCAAAGAGGCAAAGAGGGCTGAAAGGGAGCTTAAGGGAGGGCCCGCCGTACTACACCGTTCCTGGCAGGCTTTATGAATCTGTTTTTTAGGGCTGGTAGAGCCCCCTCATCTCACAAGGCATAAGCATTCATAAGCATTCATAAGCATTCATAAGCATTCCGCTCTTAGACCCCATGGACCTCATGGTCTCATGGGTCATCTTTCCATAGGTTCTCACCCAGTTCTCCAGCACCGGTGTTGTCACCGTGTCAATACAGCCAGGGCTGTATTCCATTCTAGTAAATCTCACCCTACATGCAAGGGCAACAGCACTTGGGCAAAAGTTTTTCCAGGAGAAAGAGCAGCTGTGCAGGATTCAATGAAGCTCCCCATGCCGGCTGTGCTACCAGCAAATTCAGCCGATCATGTTTATGATATGCAAACAAATCAGATATCAGCCTCATTTAATAACTGCTTGAGATGAGTGCATAAAGCAGCAAGTTACTTTTTCATTCAGTGCAACAGGACTGCCTACTTGACTAAGTCAAACATGGTATTACCTGTGTTTGATAAACAAATTACAAGATAATGAGCTATGCACATCAGACAAATATTTACTCACTGGAGTAAAGCATGGAGTCAGCGCTGTGCCAAAAGTGTCCATGGACTTCATAACCAGCAACCAGAAATCTGTTCTAAACCAGAATATTTTTTAACTGTAATCTGAAATGTCTGAATGTCAATACGAATTATTTCTCATATTATTTCTTAGAGTGTTTAATATGAGTTTGTTGCTTTCTTTTGGTTAATTGAACAACCAGCATCTCACCATGTATGCGATGGAGAAATACACACAGCAGTTACTCACACCTCTTAGAGAATAAATTTAGGTGCTTTAGGGGAGAACATACATTGAGCAGACAGGAGACTTGATTTGCTGATCAAAGACTACGAGTGCAGATACAGTTTACCATCATTACCAACCTTGTTCTTTACTTTAAACCTAACCTCAGAGTTAATTTTAGTCTTATGTGCGCCCTTTCCAGAAGATCAATGGCATGACAAAATCTGGAAGTGATAAATAACAAAAAGCACCAGATATGGTAACTCTGCTGCAGTAAAGATATACAGATGTAGCGTAACTTCTCGGTTTCCTCTCTGCAGACTGTAAAACAGAAGAGGCACTCTGGGCAGCTATTTGATGCTCCTAATTATTGTGTACCTGGAAGCATTTGTACTTCAAAGATAAATGATTTACTCTGCCACCAAAATAAGGCTCAGTGTTTCTAAATACTGGATGAAGATTAATAGCAGATAATGTTTGTGTTTAAACATGGAGTATATGTGTGTAAGGCCACATAAACACATAAGGGCTGCATGCACGCACAGCTGTCATTCAAGCAGCTGATCTGTAGAAGCCAATGCTATTATGCTCACAAAGAATGAGGTTTTTTTAAGGCTTATAAAAGTTGATACTCTTCCTTTGGCTGTGAGTAAAGCAGCCCTAAGCGACAGCACACACATACACCCATGTGTGTCAGCTCTTACGCTGCTAACCTCATGGATACCAGGTGTCCTACTGATACGGTAAGAGTTGCATTTGTGCTGTAGAAAAACTGACTGCCCTGCTATGTCTACATTCAGGTGAATATATGGAAGGGAAAAAGGAAGCAGTCTGGTTTTCTTTGAGGAAAAACAGTTTTATGGAAATTGGGAATTACTGGGTCCCATGTGACCCAGGAAGAACAACAGCTCATGCACAACACACGTCAGTAACCTCAGCTGTATGAGGAGCTCCATAGACCTCCAAGAGCCTCTTGCATGATCTTGATTTCCCATTTACAGGTGAGAAGCTGAGGCAAAGAGAGGTGAATTCATTTGCCTAGGGACATCCAGCAGGTGAATGGCAGTACTAGGAGCAAAATGCCAGTGGTTCAAGTCCTGATCCACTCTCTCTGATTTTCTCCCTTCAAGAAATACAATAGTTAAGCAATGATCAATTTTCATACAGGAGATTAATAGATATAATAAATACATCAAATGCACATACATAATTTTATCATGAATACTCCAGAAGTTTAACAAAGAAATTGTAATGTTTTCTTTACGCGTGCAATACAGAACTGTTATATAAATTATCCACTGATTTCTCTCTTCAGCAAAATATTTAAGTGCACACTTCTCTTTATGTTGAAGATAAGTGTTATGCTGAAGCCAAAACATGAGGCTTCCAACTCTCCACCATGGACAGGGCTGCCTCCCACCAGCTCAGACTGCCCAGGGTTCCATCCAACCTTGGCCTTGAGGGATGGGGCACCATGAAGTGCCTTCAGGGATGGGGCACCACAGCTTCTCTAGGCAGTCTGTGCCAGTGCCTCACCACCCATGCATGAAGTCTGATTAATAACCCTATGGCCAGACTGTGATATATAATTTTGGTGAGGAGACAGGTGCTATTTTACCCTGGAAGTCAGCAGTGTTCTTTGCTAAGTATGCAGTACCAATCAGGGCACTAGAACCTACTGAATTTCCATCAGGTGTCTTGATCTTATTAAGGTTAGATTTATGTATTATAACTGCAGTTAGATACTAGCCTAAATATTTGCCAGAATAAATAATAAAGCATATTTTGCTATGTTCATTTAATTTGGAATCTAAGGCATTGCTCAGCTTGTGAAAGCACAATATCTTTAGTGTTAGACTTATTCCACCAGTCACTATGTGTACATATTAGTCAACATCTTGTTAACTTAATTTGTTAATGAAAAGTAGAAGATAGTAACATAGAGTAAGTTCTTTCCCATCACAAGCATGCAAAAAATGTGATTTCTGGGTCTTCCCATCATTATGACAATGCTAAATAACTCACTATGTGGAATCTGATGTCAAATACTTGCAGGGATTTATTTATTGGTTATGCCCTTCATTAGAGCCTTGAGAGAGGCAAACACATTTATTGCTTCCTCTTGTACAGTCACACAGGACGTGTTTATACTCAGGACTGCGTGTTGATCCAAAATGTGTGTTGCTAAATCAGCAACAGCCTAAATATCATTAGAATCATAGAATTATCAAGGCTGGAGAAGATCTTTATGATCAGCTAGTCCAACCATCAATCCATTCCCACCATGCCCAATAAACCATATTCCCAAGTTCCATATCTACACATTTCTTGAACACTTCAGGAGCAAGGACTCTACTACTTTCCAGGGCAGCCTGTTCCACTGCCCCACCACTCTTTCAGAGACTAAATTTTTCCTAATATCCAACCTGAATATCCCCTGGCCAACTTGAGGCTATTACCTCTTTCATGTTTCATTTCTGCTAGGTGGGCTGTGAAGAACTCACCTGTTCTGTTCATGGAATTAAACAACTGGAAAATCAAGACAGTAAATTGTTCAATAGTATATTTTGAAACCTCTTTACGTTCACTCATTGTGTGTGTACCAATGTTGACCCTGTTTGCTGTCTGTGCTAAAGCATATACTGGTTCAGCAACACAGGGTTTGATGGATTTGCTCATGAAAGATTTAGATGTCCAAACTGCAAAGCAGCATTAGTAGTCCTGTCTCAAGCTTCCTATGCAGTGCATGGGAGACTTAGCACCTCCAAAAGGAGCCTGAGCTGTGCTGATCATATACATATGATCATATATGTACTATACACCTACCAAATAGTCAGCTGTTGAATAGGGCTCTAGTGATGGCAACTTTGAAGAAAAGCATTTCAATTTGGCTGAAAGAATATTGCCAGCACTCAGAGTGATTATTTAGGAAATGCCTGAAAAATAATTGTGGTTTTGAAAATTAAAATCTGTGTTTATCCTTCACCAAGCACTTGACACGTGTATCTTGACTCAGCTCAGTGTTATTTTAGGCTTGCAATTTTCACCCGCAGTACCATGCACTGGTTCTCTGATAATACTTGATTCTATCTCAATGTGACAAGTTCAGGAGAATTTTGACTGATGTATTACTAAGATGTCCTTTTACACTTCACTGTGTTAGACCAGTCTAAGTTTTCACAGCACTACTATCTGCTCTTAAAATCTCTGATGAGGCTATTCCTACACTCAGTGCTATTATTTGACTCAGCAATTCATCTTTGGCCCCAGACTTGGACAAACATAATTTCCTCTTAACTTCTTGGCTCAGTTATTTGAGAAGGGTGGAGAGTTTTTGGCTTCTTTGCTGTTGTTTGGGCACATTCAAGCTGATACATATCAATTCTGCTGGGCAAGTTATCAATCGATCACGTGCTAAAGTTTGAGAATATTGAGCAATTTTTCCAGACTTTGCCTGAGATTCAGTCAGTTAAAAGACATGTTTCAATTGCATATACAAAGGGAAGGTTTCTTTGATGAAAGCCAGGAATTCAGATCAAAACACTGTTTATTTTCCCAAGGTTGACAGTGAAAGGATAAAAAAAAAGATACTATTTTATTAAGACCAGAAATCCATTTCTTGATCTTAAAAGAGTGGGTTTTGGGAAGGAGGGAAACTGTGCTGCAATGACAAGATCAGAGAATTCATTTATTTTGTCTTTTGGTGCAGAATCACTATATAGGAAAAGAAAAAGCAGTAATGAATTAATATAAAAAGAAGCCTGATACAAGTGTTTAGTCAGTCAAATGTAAATGCTCCAGATCTTAATCTAAATCCTGTGAGCTATACCCATACAAGTGGTTCATTGATTTCAGTCATACAATTTCTAATGTAAGCAGAATTCAGCCCTGCTCACTAATAGGCATGTTCTATTTCTGGTGAGGGAAGAGAAGTTGTGGACCCCGAATGGGAAAGCCTAATACAACTGCACCATTAATAAAATATTCACCTTGATGTTGGTGACCTTCTGCGTACTCGGGGGGATTAATAAACACACAGGCTATTTGACTTCAAGGTAATCTAGAGGAGATCCAATCTGTTTTCTAAAGCCCATCTATTTTGGGTGCTGCATTTAATTCACCTATAGGGATGGCTCGTATAAGCGGTCTTTTATTAGGCTTCTTGATGACCCCTCATTGCGGAAGACAGGCCAGAGCAGAGACTGGTGCTCTTGGCTGGTTACAGCACCTGTCAGAGCCCAGTCATAAGTATTCAAGGAAGTCCTAGAGATAGGGTCCAATTTCTTTAACAGTGTCTCCAAATACACACTTAGGAGACTTCTTCCTGTCCTGAAATTTCAGACCCTAAATAGCCAGTGGAAAAAGGCATAGTCTTTGCTGTCTCAGACTTTATTCTCATTTTTATTTTCTAAGTTGTTCTGTCTTTCTAAACCTGTAACATTTCAGACAGAAATATAACTGGTGACAGCTATGCTGCTGCACTTCGGTAGTGTTGTTTCTTTGCTTTTTTTTTTTTTTTTTTTGTCACGAATATTTCACAAGAAAGAGTTAAAGACCTACATGATGTAAGGAAGTGCAGTTCCAGCTTCAGTTTTGGCCAATAGATGATGAAACACATTATCTGCAGACAAGCAAGATGTTAGCAGCAGGGAAAATATGAATAAGAGTAAGAAAACACAAACATTAAATCCATTACTTGGAGAAGCTCAAATTCAGCAAAATTTTCAAGCATGTGCTTCAGATTCTTTGACTTACACTGTGCTTACTGGCATAGGCTTAAACAGACATTATCTATTTTATGTCCCTTATGTCAAATGTACTGGCATTAACTTTCCTGTAATTATGAGAAAGTTGTTGTATAAAATTGTTAATGTGACTGTCCACAAAAAGCAGTCAAGTATATTTAGGGGCAAATGGTATTAAGTTGAAGGAGGGAAGATTTAGGCTGGATATCAGGGGGAAGTTCTTTACTACGAGAACGGTGAGGTGCTGGAACAGGCTGCCCAGAGAGGTTGTGGATGCCCCGTCCCTGGAGGTGTTCAAGGCCAGGTTGGATGGGGCCCTGGGCAGCCTGGTCTAGTATTAAATGTGGAAGTTGGTGACCCTGCCTGTGGCAGTGAAGTTGGAGATTCATGATCCTTGAGTCCCTTCCAACTCAGGCCATTCTGTCATTCTGTGATTCTGTCTACATGTTTGTCCATCACTTGTTTTGAGCATCTTCCTTGCCTGCTATCTCCTCCATGGCCAGAGCTTAGCCTGAAAGATTTTATAGCCAGATAGGCTATGCATGCAGAAGTTGTCACAGCTGATACTCTAATGAATTTCAGAGTCCAAAGTAAAGCCTTGACTCTGCTAAATTAATGAGTGTTTTGAAGACGGACTTAATCTCTGTCAAGTGATAGCCTTACACACTCATGCTCGCACATGCATATATATCTACATATACAAATGTATGAATAACACATTTTTGCAGTGTTATTGAGAAGACCTTGTCTGATCATATAAATATAAATTACAAATATAGTCAGACATCTGTCTAAAAAAATATAAATACATTCAGACATTTGTTTTAAGGATGTCTTTCCAATATTATTTGCAAACGTAACTAAGCAAGAGACACAATTCAGGGTGGGATGCAGTCATGACACAAATTGGGGGGCAAGGAGAGGCTGCACAGATGTTCAGCTGTTCTTCCCACCCATGACTTGAACGGTGAAGTGAGCAGTGGCCTGAAAGCCCCTTTTCCGACCCCCTCAGGGTAATATGACAGGATCTCATTCAGCAAGCCCAGGCTGCCAAATTAAGATCCTGACAAAGGTAGCACTTTCTTTGAGGACATTATGAAGTGTAGAGAACCTCCCTGGTACATTAGGGCATATTTGACTCTTCACATGTAAAGAATACTGCAGAGGAGATATAAGTTGAACAGATGATGTAGTAAGTCCGTGACATGACCAGAAGCATGGGGTGCATGTGCTGGTGCTGAACTCAATGTTGACACCATGTGTGCCCCTGACAAAGTGGGAAGTGGTAGCTCTGCTAACAGTTTCCATGCTTTTTTGCAGATGTATTGTGAGAGGTTTATATGTATCCTGAGAATACTTGGAACCACACTCTTTGGAGTGTCCCTCCTGCTGGGAATCACCGCTGCTTACATTGTGGGCTACCAGTTTATCCAAACAGACAATTACTACTTCTCCTTTGGACTCTATGGTGCTATCCTGGCATCACATCTCATCATCCAAAGCCTGTTTGCCTACCTAGAGCACAGGAAAATGAAGCGGTCGCTAGAGACTCCAATCAAGCTGAACAAAACTGTTGCCCTTTGTATTGCTGCCTATCAAGAGGATCCTGACTACTTAAGAAAATGTTTACTTTCTGTGAAAAGATTGACCTACCCTGGAATTAAAGTTGTTATGGTCATTGATGGGAACTCGGAAGACGACATTTACATGATGGACATTTTTACTGAAATCATGGGTAGGGACAAATCTGCCACTTATATCTGGAGTAACAACTTCCATGACAGAGGTCCAGGTGAGACGGAGGAGTCTCACAGAGAGAGCATGCAGCACGTATCTCAGCTGGTCCTGTCCAACAAAAGTGTTTGCATCATGCAGAAATGGGGTGGAAAAAGAGAAGTAATGTACACAGCATTCAAAGCACTGGGGAGAAGCGTGGATTATGTACAGGTAGGTATTAAAGCACCAGGTCAGTGCCAATTCAAACACACTTTGAAAGAAAGCAGCTTTTGTATATTTTGTGCCGCATGTTAGAGGCCATCCCAGTCCCTGATGAACACAGTGCTCCTTTCAGTCTGTTTGGAAACAGCTTGACCGTTGAAAGTGCATTTTGCTACCTTTTTAAAATGGTCAGCCTATCTGTGAATATGTTAAATCTACCAACTATTGGAGAAATCTGGAATATCTCCTCAGGCTGCAGTACTTCTCCCTGTGGTTTTGCTTCAGGCAAAGCCAGTGGCCTCCTGAAGACCCCCTCTCTGCTCCTGTAAGTCTAGATCTTGGGTAAAGTTTTATTTTGAGAGAGTTTCAGTGGCCACATTTGAGAACAGGCAGACAAGTATTTGCTGCCACTAGGGAATATCTCAGTGGTAGAGTCTGTGAAAAAGATGGGGGTATTTTGAAGCTTTTGAGGGCTGTGCAGAGTATTCAATAAAAAAGGTCAACGTGCAGTCTTGAAAGAAAGATTTCTTCAGCTAAAGCCTGAAGGAGCTTTTGCTTCATCACTTACAGCTGCATTACCTCACTCACTGCGACTTGGCCTTTAAAGCCCTTATGACACTGTTCACTTAAAAATGAATTAGGCTGAGTCCTCTCTCCCCATTTCCAAAGCAGCAGAGACACATTTCTTTCCAGCTGCCTTGGATCCCGTGAAAGATTTTCTGTGTTTGTGCCTTACACATGGAAGCACTCCTCTCTCAGGCAAACAGACTGCAGGAAGTCCAGGAGGCCATGAGTGGAGGAGGTGCATAGAACTAGGCCAGACCCTGAGGATCACTAGTTGTAGTATATTAGTTGTATATCAAGACCAGTGAGATTTATTCCACTAAATCCTGCTGATTATGAGACAATTTTCCTAATTAATCACCCCCAGCCTTTCCTGCCCTCTCCTGACATCAGCATATTACTTTGCCTCCAGAATTCTCTGGTGGGACAGTCGATAAGCTGTCAGGATAGCGTCAGGAACCACCCTGGTCTCAGAACTTCAAGAGTTACTGGAGGCTTAAAAGCAAGGCAACAATTTCAACTCATCCTTGAGCATTTCCAAAACTTTAACTGATTTATTATCCAAAAACAATGGACTTAAATTCTCCATTGTCTGCAGTTTGATTTTGTGCTGCGAGGGACTGTGATGGGATCAAAAATGCTGTTTTTCTGCGTTAACATCATTTTATAATCACTTCCCACAAAAGTATCAAATTGCAGAGAATGAAGGCAGAGAGGAAACAGATTCATAACTACTTTCCTCTCTCAGTCCAGCTCTTGCATTTGCTCAGAGAACCTGCAAAAAGTGTTTCTCTTTCAACAATCATACCATAAACTAAGAAAACGGAAGAGATGTTTCTGGTCTCTCTGTCAGTCAGCACTCCTGACCCGGCTCAGAAGTCCTGATGAATGTGTCAGGGACTAACTGACGACTGATGTCACAGTCACATCCATGTTACAGATGCATTGCCTAGGTGGCTCTGGTTGGCCACAGTCCTGATGCAGTTCAGGTGACATATGGCTCTGTTTTGTGAATTAGTGTAGGCTGAGATTTTTTGCACATTTAGGAGTATCTTTAGGACTAAATTACTTTAAATGGGCCCCACATTTTTAATAGCTGAGTGATCTGCATCAGTGATCAGCCACTTTAAAAAGTAGACCAGTCAGTATGACTGCCCATGCCTGACACTGTGGGCCTCACCGTACTTAAATGCACTTTAAGCCTAAAAGCAAGTGATTATAAGCAGACATGTCAGCGTGGATAACCAAGATGTTACTCACTAGCAGACTCTCACTAAATACCTGAAATCACTGTGAAGGATTTAATTCCATTCTGGAGGAGGTGAGGGCAAAGCTGGCTAGTGCAATCAGGGTGCAATGCATCTTGGCTTGATCCAAGTACCTGCATGGACCACCCAGCACAGTCTGAGCTCCATGGAACATCCTGATTTTAAATGACCACTAGTTGCAGCAAGCATTTGAACAGCTTGCTCAGAGCTGAAGGCAGAAGCACGCAAGGTCAGCTGTCCCTTTCATGCAACTCTGTGACCCACAGCAGTAATTTCTAGGTCACCCTGCCCTTATGTGGAAATATAGCAAATTGGCTCTTAGACTGTGCTGGGCCAGCCCCAGCTTGCCAGCCCTCGGTGTGTTTCATTCAGGTTCCTAAGTTGCTTTTCTCAGGGTGCGTCCTCTTTTCACCTAGAAAAACCTCATCCAGATGGAAAATGACAGCTTGTCCCAGGAACGCAGACATGTCCACAGTGCTGGCATAGCCAGGACACATGCTGGTCATTCATAAATAAATCCTGTTTTTAGTATTCCTCATCTCATAATAGCAATGTTGCTCATGGGAGGTTTCTCTGCTATAGATAAATGCATCTGATGGTTGGGGACTGCTCAGCCACATTGAGTGACAGGCACAGGACTGAAATCTGAGGAGCTGGGTAGGAGACTGACCCAATCTGACCATTTGTGGCCACAAGAAATGGAACAAGTGTCTTACTGAGCCCTGAATACCAACAAACAGCAGATTTGCTGTGCTGAGCACTCAGTGACAGCTTTGCTCAGGAAGTCCCAGACAGAAATACAAGAATCCTTTTCTCCCTTCATCCTTTCTTCCCTTCATCACAATTAACGCTGCCTGTCACCATGTGCTGTCACTGATGACAGCTTTCCACTAAAGCTGGCCAGGTTACAAAGGTGCTCCCCAGGCTGAGTCTTCCAAGGAGAAGAGCTGGATGCTTGAATGGAAGCTGGAGATGCTTACAGAAATATGAGAGCTCTCATCAGCTTTCGCCTTTCAGCCTCCAAGTTAATACGGAGAGGAAACGTTTTGGCAGACACTGAGCTGCATCACAAGCTGTGCAGCCTGATTATCATAGAACTGTAGAATCATAGAATGGCTTAGGTTGAAGAGGATCTTAAAGATGATCTAGTTACAACTTCCCTTCCATGGGCAGGGTTGCATGTCTCAAGGTGAGACTGCGCCATCCAGTCTCACCTTGAATGCCTCCAGAGATGGGGCATCCCCAACTTCTCTAGGCAACCTGTTCCACCTCTTCACCATCCTGAGTACAAAATTTCATACTAACATCTAACCTAAGTCTCCTCTCTTTTAGTTTAAAGCCATTTCCTCTTGTCCTCTCACTATCAGATCATGTAAAAAGTCATTCAACACCTTGTTAAACCTCATTAGGTTCTTGTGTGCTCACTTTTTGAGCCTGTCCAGGTGCCCCTAGAAGGTGCCCCCTACCTCCTATTGTGTCAACTGCAAAACTTGGTGTAATCAGCAAACTTGCTTGTAACCTCTCAGCTCAAGTCTAGCCCATAACAGAATCCCTAAGAACTCTCCTCCCCTTCACAGAGCAGGAATAAATACTTCTGCTCCCACGGAGCAAGGGAGCTTAGGCTGAGTTGAAAGGTTGGATGAAAAGATGCCAAAATTAAAACTGCAGATACGAAGCCTTGCTTGGGTTTAACTTAAGAGGTTATTCATGCAGCGCCACTGACTTCTACCCCTACTGTCCCCACCTGAAATCACAGGAATATCAACTCTGGATTAAGTGGGAGGAGGAAGAGAATTTGTAGGGCAGAATCTGGCCAGCCAGAAGAGTGTTTCTGAGACAGGCTCCCACTCAGGGAGGTCAGGGCATCTAAAAAATGAGTTCACAGACTATTGGGAAACTGCTTTCAGTAGCAGCTGGGACAAGGAGGCACCCACTTGATTTAAAAGGCCGCAGCCTATGTCATTATCCTCCCAGAAAACGAAAGCAGCATCAGCTGCCTTTCAGAGAGGCCAGCCTGTCTGAGCCCCCCTCCTACTCTCCAGGGGCAAGCCAATTCCTAGTGTACACAGTGTCTAGTTGACTGGGAGTGTCTGTGTGGTTGAAAAGCCTGTGTATCTCATCTATTTCTGCCCTGGTCTCATGGACTACTGCACTTTGGGACTTGCTCCTTCTGTTCTTACTTAGATATTTTTTATAAGAATGCTGGAGGAAAATGGCAAATGATTTCTGTACATCAAATCTCAAGTCCTTGCACTATTAGTAACACACCATACATCCAAATATACAGATGAGTTTCTTCTATAATCCAAAATACATATCTTACATGAATTTCTAAATCCTTCCATGAGTGAAAGAACTATTAGGTTTCTTACTGGACTCCTAGCTGACTTTTTTTTTTTTTTTTTTCCTTAACAAGTATCTGGAATTTAACTCCTTACTCCTTCCCTCTTTGGGCAGCAGGAGACATTTTACCAGGGTACTAAAACCATGCAGCCAACACAGGGGAACCCTATGTCAGGGCTCAGCAGGAATCCGCAACATACCCACAAACATTGTCTTGCTCTGCAGTGCCCCATCTCTGAGAGCATCTCTTATTCAAAGTTGTCAGCCCAGCGTGCCAGTAAAACAAATCGAGCTGATACAGAAGAGAGGATTGTTTGCGTGCACGGACCTTACAAGCACTCAGTTTCATTCAGCAGCACTTCTTGCTGCCTGATACAAATAGCCTTTAAGAAGTATCAATGCAGACTGCAAAGAGAGATTTAATTGCTTTCAGAAGAATATGCCTATAGAGACACTCACCATTCAAGTGATTTTTATTCTCTGTTCAAGTGTACTCCTTAACCAACCCATTTTTGTTCTTGATTCTGTCTTTCTCATAGGTCTGTGATTCAGACACAATGCTCGATCCAGCTTCATCGGTGGAGATGGTAAAGGTCCTAGAAGAAGATCCAATGGTTGGAGGAGTTGGAGGCGATGTGCAGGTGAGTACAATGGGGAGTTTCAGCAAATAATTGTACTGCAATAGTTTTCCACGTCTGGAATAGCATTGAATACACAGTGGTATCATCACAAAGGCTCTTGTAAGACCTTACCCTTTCTATCTATTGAACAGAATGCTAATTCAGAGGTATGAGCACTGTGGTTTTAACACTCACAGAAAGCAGATAAGTATTATTCTCCCCAAATATGTGAAAAATGGGGCATTAGGACTGTCAGGCCTGTTGCTGCATCTTTGAGTATCTGGACATGATTTTTTGTTCGAGGTGCCACAGAAAAGCTTTAGGGCACCAGAGAACAGAGAACAACTCTCCCAAAACCAAGTCCAGCACCTCAGGCTTTACTTGCTAATTCGCATTCAAGATTGTTACAAACAAAGCCTTTTAGAAATGCAGTGCACTATGCACTATGTCCTTACTCTGTGTATTTTTGAGTTTCCTATGCATCTCTGTCAGATGGGACAATGTGAAGGCCTGAAGTCAACCCAGCTCCATTTCTGTGAGGATTTTCAGCTGTTCATTCCTTCCAACACAAATGTTTCTGCTACAATTTATAAAAAAAATATGCATATGAACATTCCAATTGGCCTTGGGGTTAGTTCCTTAGTCCAGTCAGGCTTTTATGTGAAACAAAGGAGAAAGGGCCATCTATATGGGCAAGCACTTACTGAAGAATGTCCCAGTAGTCATAAGTATTTCAGGTATGTGGCTCTTAATTCCAGAAATTAAGATTCCTACAGAAGCCTGAATATCTTTGTCCTCTGGTCTGATCACAAACCGAGCTGAAAATGTGGATGTGAAGACTTGGGCACCTGCACTTGCCTTTACGTCCACTGAGTGTTCAGACACAGATTATAGCTATACAGCATTTAAAGTGGATGTCTGAGCTTCAGGTGAGCTTTGGGGCAAAATGAAGTGAAGGACTGAGTTGTTTATATGAGCTGAAGCATGACTGTTGGTGTATCATAGTATGTCTTGAGGCATAATAACAATGCCAGTTTCCAATGTCAACTCAAGCAAGGCTGTTTCCCAGAGGGCCTAATGTCACATATGGAATCATAATCCAGGATCAAACATCTAGGGCAAGCCTTATAAGACCAAAAATGTAAGCCAAAGACCACCTGTTCAGTCTCTCATATCCTGGCATAGCTCTAGGAGGGCTGGAAGAAGTCCTGTGAGAAGCAAAGCTGTGGCAGGAAGCCACATTTTGGACTTCTCCATCTCCTAGGAGAGGCTGCAAGTACTTAACTGGGGATGAAGAGAAAGGAAAAATGAGCCAGGAAGGAAGTTTCTTGGTGGAGAAGAGGAAAGGTTGTGAGAAAAGTGATCATTTTTGTGGAACAGCCTCTTGAAGGCTTTATTGCCTTTCCTATCAGTGTCCTGGACTGTGTAAGGATGGTAACATGTTTGGCCTAAGAGTGAAGTTCCCCTTATATTTTGGCTATCAGTACTCCAGTTTCAGCAAATTCCTTTTTGATCTAATGTGTATAATATCCTTCTCAAGAACTCATCTAAAATGCCAACTTCTTGTATTTTGCAGATTTTGAACAAGTATGATTCCTGGATCTCCTTTCTGAGCAGCGTGAGATACTGGATGGCATTTAACATAGAAAGAGCCTGCCAGTCCTATTTTGGCTGCGTACAGTGCATCAGTGGACCTCTGGGAATGTACAGAAACTCTTTACTCCATGAATTTGTGGAAGATTGGTACAATCAAGAATTTATGGGCTCCCAGTGCAGCTTTGGAGATGACAGGCATCTAACTAACCGAGTACTAAGTCTGGGCTATGCAACAAAATACACAGCTAGATCCAAGTGCCTTACTGAAACACCAATAGAGTATCTCAGGTGGCTGAATCAGCAGACCCGCTGGAGTAAATCATATTTTAGAGAGTGGCTTTATAATGCAATGTGGTTCCACAAGCACCATTTGTGGATGACCTATGAAGCTGTAATCACTGGATTCTTTCCTTTCTTCCTTATCGCTACAGTCATTCAGCTCTTCTACAGGGGAAAAATCTGGAACATCCTCCTTTTCTTGTTGACAGTTCAGTTAGTGGGCCTGATAAAGTCTTCCTTTGCCAGCTTCCTTAGGGGCAACATTGTCATGGTTTTCATGTCACTCTACTCAGTGTTGTATATGTCAAGTTTACTGCCAGCAAAGATGTTTGCAATTGCCACAATAAACAAAGCAGGGTGGGGCACATCAGGAAGAAAAACCATTGTAGTTAATTTTATAGGACTCATTCCAGTCTCCATTTGGTTTACAATCCTCCTAGGTGGCGTAATTTTCACTATCTACAAGGAATCAAAAAAGCCATTCTCTGAGTCAAAAACAACAGTTCTCGTCATTGGTACAATCCTCTATGCATGTTACTGGGTTCTTCTATTGACTTTGTACTTGGTTCTTATCACCAAATGTGGCAGGCGGAAGAAAGAGCAACACTATGACATGGTGCTAGACGTATGATGTTTCTGTGGGAAGTTACCCAGAGAGTTCTAAAGCAACCCAAGAACCTTGTAGTATCTGTGGCATGGGACGAATGTTGCCAAGGGAAATGGATCACTGCTGCTGGGAATAGGACATTTATATTCCTCTGGGTTCATTTTCATCCTGCCAAAGTAAGAAAATCAAAAACAATAGAAAATGATTTTTTTTTTTTTTCCAAGGGGGAAGAATCAAACCACACCATTTCAACCTGTTCGCATGAAAATGGGAGAACTTCTTTGTTTATGCACTTTTTGATCGTGCATACGCCTGACAGTGTTACGTTCTATATACCTCACTGGTCATGCTTATGTGTGGACAGGAAGAAAAGGAGTTTGGAGAATCAAGAAAAGGATCTTACAGCCCCTTGCAACCTAATTTATGAACTTCTCTTTTTTATAGTTCTTTTTATAGGAAGGGTCTTTTGTGTTAGGCTGCCAAATGTAATGCCAAAGGTAAATTTTAAGAGGCCATTGGCTGAGCTGTATTTTTATATTATTGTATTATTTGTGTGTGTGTATTTTTAAGCCAACTTTTTTTTTTTTTTTTTTTTTTTTTTAAATCACATATTTTATATTTTACTATCTGCCAAAAAAGTTGCCTCCCCAACATTTTGTTCTTTAGCCTCCTTAAATATATTTGGGAAACAAAAAAATCAATTTCCCCCCCCAGAATTATGCTGATTTAATATTGTTCACAATAGAAAGCATAAAAAAATTCCTCTGCGTTTTTGCAACAGACGAATGGTTATTTCTGTGAAAAAGCATTTAAATGTACTCTTTGAAGGCATTTATTAGGAAAGGCCCAACATTGCCAGTTTCTGAATACAAGCTTATTTGTCCATAAAAAAAGGCCAAAGGGGTAGATATGTGCAATCTGGGGCTTTGTTTTGTTTTGGATAACATTCTAATAGGGAAATCTACTTTGTTGAGAGCATAATATCTCTGGCATGCACAATAGCCATTTGATAAGCCAGGTCTTGATACCATTGGAAAAGGCATTGCTATAGGAGAGCTCCCACTGATTTTACATATGATCTGAAGAACCACACGCTTCTGATCTGAAGAAATATCAGACACCCCAAACTACTATTGACTCCACTGATGGCTGCAATCTTCTAGTTCTGATTTTTTAGTTAAAAGATACATGAAAGGAAAACATATCAACACTTTCAAAATGTGGGTGCCTTACGACAAAACATCTGCAGTGCCCTTCACAGAGTTTACAAATGATATAAACATCACCTTCTGTGACATCCAGTGTAATGCAGACCCCTGTACTAAGCCCAATATTTCGTGCCTGACAAAAGCATATCTACCAGAAAAGAAGCCAACTTGTATCTGAAAACATCAGGTCTTAGCAAATTCATCATTTCCTTGGTGCTTAATAGTCCATTTTGGACATTTATTTTGGACCACGGTTTTGTGAAATAACACTCAGGACTAAATTCTGCAGTCCTTCACCAGCCAAAGGAATGTGGCATTGAGCCCTAATACACTTTATAAAGAGCAACAGAATGCCAACTGCATACAGATATATGCCCTTTTTAGATTCTGGTATTTAAAGCACTGTGGTAAAGCAGAAATCAGCATATGATGCTTAAAGAACTTAGAAGCATTTTCAGCTTCTTTTTTTATGCAGACATGAGTAGATTCTGCTGTAGAATGAACTGCACACACACTACCTTATTTGTTTGATTATCTTGAGGTACATGATTGCTTGAAAGTCATACTAATTTTATGTTAATGATTGGAGAGTTGATTCGTGTTGATTAAAAATAGAACAGTATTAAAAAATGCAAAAGAAACAGAAAAAAAATTGACTATGCCTTTTAACTATTTATGATGTAAGTTAAAGCTTGGGTTAACATTCAAATGTCAAATAAATCCTCTCATTCTATAAAAAATGAATTAATTGCCTGTATTTATTCTAGCAATTTATTCTAGCAAATGTACTTCCAATATAGGTTGTATAGTATAATTGTTACTTTCATAAATAAAATATTTTTGATAAGATTATGACTAATACATGGTGTTTCTGATCAGCACTTTGGCTCTGAAGCCATAAATCTGGATGGCTTGGAGGATGCTGTTATGGTGTCACCAGTCTGATTTCCCAGCAGAAATTTACCATTGAGAAGCATGGTAAGCATGCACCTGGGGAGTGCAATAACGGCAGGATGAAGGGATGGAACCAACTCACTCTAGTCCATTGGATGCCACTAGCTTCCAAAATCAGGGAATCAGAGAATATGTGCCCAGTCCTCTTCTTTTGCAGCCCTCTGCTTTGCTTGTTAGACTGTGTCTGGATACTGTGACCAGTTTGGGGATCTTCAGTACAGTAACTCATTTATGAACCAGAGAAAGTTCGGTGTAGGACCAGTCTGATATTCGGTGCTGGAGCACTGTCCTTGTGAGGAGGGGCTGAGGGAGGTTAGGTTCAGTTGGAAAGCAGATGGCTTTGGCCACCTAACATCATCTCCAATACCTATAGAGAGATTGTCAAGAAGGTGTAGCCTGGAACTACACAGTGATATCTGGTCGGAAAACGGAGATCTCTGGGTTTGAGTTGAAACAGGAAAGCTTCAGATGTAATATAAACATTAACTTTTTGCCCATGATACCAATCAGGTACTGGACAGGCTGCCCAGAGACCTAATGCAGTCTCTGTCCTGGGAAGGTTTCAGGACTAGAATGGAAAAAGTCCTGAGAAACCTACTCTGACCTCAGAACTGTCTCTCTGAAAGGACGTGAAAATGTCTTTAGTCAAATTACATTCTTTTAACAATATTTATTCTCTAAATTTTCTCAAAATATTTTGTCTCAAAATTGTCTTGTTGTATTTTCAGTGTGTGGATTAAAATAAAATGTGTTTTTCATTAATACTAAATACAATTGTGAGCTGTGTGTCAAAAGAAAAAATCATGCTTTGTTTTGAAAAGCACAGGCATTTTTCAGCCTTTAATTGATGGTTTCAAAATCTATAAAAACTTTTTCAAACGACGAAGTCTACAGAATACTTCAAAAAAAAAAAAAGAAAAAGAAAAAGAAAAGAAAAAGAAAAATCAGTGAGTTGGCAATATCTCAGGTTGTGAGACATTTCCAGAGTGGAGTAATTTGAGTTTGACAGCATCTGTTTGCAGACACCAGGTGTGAAGCAAAACCTGTAGGGATTAGAGGTGCAGCAAGGACGAAGCAGCCCTCCTGTTCTGATTGCTAACAAGCTTTGGTTTGGCCAAGAATCAGGTTTCTTTCAGGAATGCATGAATATTTAGCGGAATTTTTTTAGGAGGTGGAAAAAATCCTGTCAGACACGTACTGCCAAACGTGTCCTGGTGCACAAGCTGTTATGAATCCGTCTGTTAAAAATTTTAGTCTGAATTTTATTCTTAGCAAGAGACAGAATGGTAAAGAGGAGACAAAATGTATCAAGAGCTGTTGATGAGATCTGGTATTACTGAGGCTTTGCTGGAAGAGCCACTTTTCTCCAGCACTAACACAAACTTAAACATACTGCAATTTTTCCTTGGCCTATGTTTGCTGCTGTAGTTTCAGATCTAATGGATCTAAATTGTGCCTGCTTCTTCTAGCTATGTAATTTTGTATAATAAAAGATTCTGCTTCTCCCAAAGAAATCCAGCTCGAATTTTCTCCTAAAATAGCCCTGAAATTTCCATAAGCTCCAGTGACTGCACAGAGGAAAATTTCCTTGTTATATTTACATTAAGTAAATGAGAGACCCAGGCCATGTGTCTGAGCTTTAGTACGTGGTATTTGGTACTGTTTAAGTGTAAGCATTGTCCATGGCATGTTTTTACTCCAGGTCAGATTGTGCAGCCACAAATGGTGTTGGGCACAGTTAGGAGAGCTGTATGGGTTGGCAACTAACATGTCTGTGTAGGTTATACAGCTTAGGTGTGATCTCTGTCATAACTGCTTTTTTTTTTTTTAAAGAAAGAACACAAAAGAGCATGCACAAGTGTGACACTGCTAGCAATCACTAATAGACATTAAAAAGATTAAATGGTAAGATCATTCTAAATTCTTTACAGCATTGTTGCCTGTAACTGATCCCCAAAACTGTACTTAAGTTTTCTGTAGTTACTCTTTTTAGTTAAAATAGTGAGCCCATCCAGTGAACAGACGCTGGTGATTATCAGTGACTTCTGTCTGCACTCTTACTTCATTGCTTTCCACAGAAATGGCATAGTGTCTTGCTGTCTTGGTTATTGCCAGCACTGGTGATATCTGGATAACTATGGCAGCACTGTGGGATGTACTAGAAGATACTTTAGTATGAAAAAGAAAGTCTGAAAAGGCTATAAGAAAGGGTTATTAAAAAAAAATATATATATCTATATATATATATTTGATAGCATAGATTTTACACATGGATTTTAATATTCCATTTCAGAGTACACAAAATTCTATCCAAATGGATAAGTTGTTTGAGAAGGTATGACACAAGATCACAGAAAGAAGAAACAAATATTAAAAAGGAAAAGTGAGCTGTTTCATTGATACAGAGGGCATATTTATGCAAAAGTTTAAATTGAATTTAGACTTTAAAGATGTCTTCAAACACAGAAAGGAATCCATTCCACGAACTTTAAATACCACTACTTCTATGAAAGTCATTGAATTTTTTTTGCAGTCAATGGAAAGAAAGAACCCCAGCTGGGTACAGCACATCTGCCAATGGCTATTTCACACACTGCAGAGTGACAGACTTCCTTCTACAACTGCCTGGTTCTCCATGCTAACTATGGATGGAGTTGGTGATGAGTTTAAATTATTGGCTAATAGGATAATTCAGGCTGGAGGGACCTCCTGCTCAGAGGGAGTTGACCATGAAGTAAATACAACCTTAAAGAAGACACAGTGTGAGCATGGTCATTCCCAAACACTGATTTTTGTGATAGCTCACGCTGGGTTAAATGAGTCCTATCGCTCTTGTCCTTGGGTGAGAAACACCAGCTTGCTTCTGAGGTTGATCCCATCACACCTTGCACGCATCTGGCACTTTGGCAGTATTGAAGCAAGAGTCCTCATAGGGATGAGAGTCCTGTCAGCCCTCTTGGAGGGCCAAGTAGGGATAAGAAAGACAGTTCTGAGCAACAGCAGCACCTATATATTTTGTGTTCATAGCAACAGCAGCTAATAGGTGCTGCCACTCCCTTTTTCCAAGCTTAGCATCCTTCAGAATAGGAGTTCATTCCTCAGTTATCCACCATACATGCACTCATATATATTCATCCATATCTATATACTATACTTATATTTCTTCCTGGATACTAAAACTGTGATAGCCCATTTCCAACAGCAAGTCAAAACCGTGGCAGACAGGATAACTTCATGCATTGCAGAACAGAGATTGTTTTCTATGTTGTTTTTATAAACAGCTCTACGTGTACTTTGTACTTGATCTCATCTTCTTTAAAATGACCACCAAGGAGATTTGTTGGCAACTTTTACTGGAGACTGGGGAGGAGGGGAAACGTGTAGTTAATGCTCTTACCTGCCATCTGTCTGACCGTGTCATATGAGGAGATTGCATGTTTGGGTGCAAAATCTGTAATGCTCGATTCCAGCCAAGAGAAATTTCAAATAAAACCACCTGAAAAGGATATCCATGCAGAGCTCACCACAGCCACATCCCAGAAGTTTAAGGCAAACCAGGTATAAGAAAATAATTGTATTACATTTAAAAATATATAAAGTCCATTTGAGTCATTGTGAGCATTCTTTGGACAGTGATATCCATGAAAATCTCTCTCAAAGATAAAAGCTAAACAGATACAAGCCAGGTTTACTTTAACATAAAAACATATGCACTCTGAGAGCCTTGTCTACACAAGAAAGTTTATCTGATGGAACCAAAACTTGTGATTTTACTTAGTGTAACTGTTATTTTCTTTGATTTTTCTTAAGAAATTATATCCATAGTGAAATTGAACCTCACGTTTACCAGCTTGAGCAAAGAAGGAAACTGCATTTACATTGTAATTATAAATTGGTTTCCTCAGACTGGCAGAGGAAGATGATACTGTTACGTTGATGTGTGCCAGACGTGTGTTAGTTCAGTCTGACACGATTTACTTTAAGAGAAGCCAAGATGTGAATTTACAGCAGATCAGACTGCCCTGAGGACTGCCCTGGGGAAATCTCTGCTCTGCAGCATGAAGTAGCTCTGCCTGCAGCATCAGATCCATCAGTTATGCTGCATTTGCCACAGGGTACAAGAGGGAATATGCAGAGATAAGGTCTAATGACTAATGCAGTGTAAACTCATGCCCAAAGCTGCTCAAAGAAGCTTTTAAGTGTATCTGTACCTCAAGCTGCTTAGGACTGAGCTGTAGGTAAAGCAGAGCCTTGTGGGCTCAGAAGCATCCAGAAGAGCTTAGGTTGATTACTAAGACTTCAAGATGGCTATTTAAACAGTGGGAAATACTCATTAAGAATGTATTTTCAAAATAAAAGCAGCTCTGCTTTGATTTAGTAACACCTCTTTGTTTTACTTCTAACACAGTTTACCCCTCACACACTAACAGCCCGGTTGGGATGTGCTCACACAACCACAAGCATGCTGTAAGAAGCTGCCATCCCGCAGGCCCTGGGAGGGGATAGGAGCACAAATGGGCTCCTGCAGAGCAAACTGAACCAGGCTGCAGGCGTGCACCTCTCCACCTCACGTGGGGCCCTGTGCAGGCCTGACCCAAACAGCCACCCACTTTGCCACCCTGTGTTCCCAGGCTGTCCTTGGTGGAACAAGAAGCTGAGTGGCTGCGTGTGCCCTGGTGAAACAACCTCAGTGCCTGGAAGATGTGTAGATTTCTTGCACTAATTACCCGAGCAGT